GCTATTTTTTGATTGCAGCCATCGTTGTTTGGTGGGCCCAGGCTGGATTCAAACCCGCCAGCTCAGGTGTATGTGGCTGGCACCTTAGCTGCTTGAGCCACAGGCGCTGACCCAGCAATGACTTTTTAGACACAGTTCCAAAGTCACAATCCATGAAGAGGTAGGTAATAGGGAGACTTCATTAAAATTAAAAACTTCTGCAAAAGACATGGTTGAGAGAATGAAGAGGCAAATCACGGACTGGGAGAAAATATTTTTTGTAACAGATAAATGATGAAAGATTATTGTTCAAAATACACAAAAGACACTTAAAATGCAACAATAAGAATACAAACTCAAATTAAATGTAGGCCAAAAAGCTGGGCATGGTGGCTCACACCTGTAATACTAGCATTTTGGGAAGCTGAGGTGGGTGGATGCAGATTGCTTGAGCTCAGGAGTTCAGAGACCAGCTTAAGCAAGAGCAAGACCTTGTCTCTACTAAAAATAGAAAAATCAGCTAGCTGTTGTGGCAGGTGCCTGTAGTCCCAGCTACTTGGGAGGCTGAGGGAAGAGGATTGACTAAGTCCAAGAGTTTGTGGTTGCTGTGAGCTGTGATGCCATAGCACTTTACCCAGGGCAACTGAATGAGACTCTTGTCTAAAAAAAGAAAGAAAGAAAGAAAGAAAGGACAAAAACCTGAACATACATCCCACCAAAGAAGATGTATAGACAGCAATTTAGCATATAAAAATGCTCATCATAATATGTCATTAAGAATTTACAAATTAAAATAACAAGATAGGCTGGGTGGCACCTGTGGCTCAGTGAGTAGGATGCCGGCCCCATATACTGATGGTGGCGAGTTCAAACCTGGCCCTGGCCAAACTGCAACAAAAAAATAGCTGGGCATTGTGGTGGGTGCATGTAGTCTCAGCTACTCAGGAGGCTGAGGCAAGAGAATCGCCTAAGCCCAGGACTTGGAGGTTGCTTTGAACTGTGTGACACCACAGCACTCTACCAAGGGCGATAAAGTGATACTCTATCTCCACACACACACACACACAAAACATAATAATAACAAGATAGGCTGGGCACATTGGCTCATGCTTGTAATCCTAGCACCCTGGGAAGCTGAGGTCAGAAAATCCCTTGAGCTCAGGAGTTCAAGTCCAGCCTGAGAAAGAGTGAGACCTTGTCTAAACTAAAACTGGAAAGAAATAGCTGGGCATTGTGGTGGGCGCCTGTAATCCTGGCTACTTGGGAGACTGAGGCAAGAGAATAGCTTAAGCCCAAGAGTTAGAGGTTGCTCGCTCTACTGAGGGTGACATAGTGAGACTCTGCCTCAAAATAAAATAAAATAGAAAAAAATAAGTGGGGATGGTGGTGTGCTTTTAGTCCCAGCTACTTGGGAGGCTAAGTCAGAAGGATCGCTTGAGGCTCGGCACCTATAGCTCAACCGGCTAAGGCGCCAGCCATGTACACCTAAGGTGGCGGGTTCAAATCCCCAGCCTGGACCCGCCAAACAACA